GGTTTTCGTGGAGGCGATGAAACCACGAAAATAAATACAACATATTGAAGTGATATATTTGACAACTCTTTGTTTATATGGGGTATCCATGAAAGTATGTATCACGAAACGATCTAAATGACTTCCAAAGAAATAACCGACGAGTATTTCATATTATACATACAGTATGTACAATAGTTTGGTAGGAGCCAAAGGCAAAAAATTTTGGAAACATATAGGTGAAATAGAATGTCATCTCTTCAAAAATTCTTGGGTCAATTTTCACTACAGTGATTTGCTTCGAAACAGATTATAGCAGAAAATGGGCAGATTACATCCTATCATATGACCATTTTCTGCTGTGTTACTCTAGATATGTACTAAAATGTAAAAGTATTTTGGTTGAAAAATTAATTAAACAAAAATGTCTGCAAACTGGTCGAAAATGTCATTGTTTTTGTTTGGGGGAAAAAGGTGTTTTTGTTTTTGTTTCAGTGTTTAGGTTGGAAAGACAGCTGAAAATATTAAATTTTTTGTTAAAGGGGAGATTATTGCTTCCAAGTGGATAAACTCATTCACCCCTGAAGACACATTTGAACTCTTCCAATTCAAAGGTTGGAATAGTTCATTATGAAATTTCAGGAGTCAATGACTTCAATCTCCTTCATTGGTTACCCAAGACTTATTTAAAGTGAGACTTTACAAAAACTTCTTTGTAATAATTACATTTGGTTTGATGCATATTAGTGGTACAGTATTCTAATTGATTGACTATATATATAGTGACCAATACTGTTGACCATTGGTCACTCAGGCCAATAAACTGATCAATCAACTACAGAATTTGTGATCGCTTTCAGTTGTAATAACTGTGAGCATGTGTACAGATATTAAGGAGGTTTTAGTAGATTTCTTTAATGATTTTAAGCCTGTCTTCTAAATGATAGATATTATAACGAGCTTCAAGCAGCAGAATTGTGAATTTCCAGCTGCTGTATCAGCAACGTCATGATCACTGATCACTGACTTGTAGTTTTGAGCCCGTTCACGGCCCCTAAGGACTATAAATGATGGATTCAGTGTTTAAAGGATTTTTTAAGCGTTCGGACAACTTTGGTCTTAAGTCTTCTATTTACTTAAGCAAGTAATGCAACAACAATGTAGAGATTTCACTATTTATTTCTTAAAAACAATTATTAGTTGATCATCAGTTACTTAAGAAAATGATCTATCATGAATTTTCAGCCAATTCCTAAGCCTGGTGCGTAGCCTTATACAGAAACAGATATAAGTTATGCTATTGTACACCAGAAAATGGCTTTAAAACTTATCACAATTAACGTTAACAGCTATATCACGCATTGAACATGTGTGTCTTATAAGTGTGCTACATTTAAAATCTAGTACAATTCTGTCCCTATACAAAGCTAGATATGTATGTCAGTGTATTTCATTAGACTTCCCTAGATTTGACAATGTCCCGTATCATGTTACTTGTCTTGATACAATCCCCGGCTGATTGCATTACGGCCATTAATTGGAGGTATATAACAGAGCTATTGCTGTAAGAACCACTATCACGGTTGGGAACTTTAAACATATGCAGAAACAGCTTGATGAAATTTTCCCTAATTGTTTTTTCTCTTCAGAGAGTTCTGAAAAAAATCTGTTTGTAAATCTGACTTAACAAGTTTACCTGAAGATGAATTACTTAAAAATACTCAGATATTTTAGTTATTTTGAAAATGAGAATTTTTCAAAATTTGAATGTCTATGCTAACAAAGCTAATTGCAGTCAGCCCTGCCCCAGGTCAGTATTGAAATTGTCAACTTGACTGTATTTGACTAATTAGCAGCTTTGTTATTTAAGATTTATGAGCGAGCGAAAGATATTTATAGCTACTTATTATTTCTTGTGCGCAATGAATAAGACATGGACATTTCACCCCAGGGGTTTAAGAACAAGCGTTTAAGTGGCTGAATTATCCCAAACCATCCACCAATCGTCTTTTCTAATCTCAATCGAATGATCGATACTCGAGCAGGGAGTGTTATTATACTACCATATTTTACGTAATAAGAGTCCTGGACACAGGTAAATGACAAGTTGGGGGCAGCCTTTATTTACATGTATACACATTATTCCTGAAGCAACATACATTTAAATTTACCATCTCATGGTATTGCCACTATATAACCCTACCAAATCCAGTTGGCATTCATATAGGCTATATATGCTATGAATGCCATGGACCAATTGTTGACGTCATCATTATTATGATGTCATAATTGTTATGTTGGATACCACTGACCCTTCCTGGGCAATGGCTGTTAACGCTCCATTCATTGAACAAGCATACATGATACATACAGTATTTGAACTATATATGCAGAATAATGATAAGTGTACCAGGTAATTTTTTTTTTTTTATGAGATGAACAGATTAAAAAAATTGTAAATACAAGTACATGTATTGAACTCGCTTCATGTTGGATTTACGTTTGTTCAGTTGGCTTTTATATTGCCTATGAATGCCAGCTGAAAGCAGTTCAATGCTTAAATATGTATTCCCAAGATGGCAGACACATGAAGATTCCTCAATTTCTTTAATTTTCTCTCCAAATAAAAATTTAAAACTGAAAAAATCTTGAATTTTCATAATAATTTGTATTCAAGGGTACCCTTATTGGAACAGGTGTTATTATGTCAAATAAGGTATATCAATTTCTTAAGACTACAATTGGTACAATAAGGACAAGTTTGAAACTTTGGTAAATTTTTGTGTTCAGAGTTTTATTCTGGTATTGTTTGTTTGTGTATATAAACATACCTCATTATAAAACACCGGACCCTATCTTGATAATGCTAAAAATTGGGTTCAAGTTCCTTAATTCTGTAATGATTGAATCGCTCTGAACTTTAATCAATAGAAATGTTTTACCATTAACCAATATAAAAATAAAATTCAACAGGATATTTATTGAATTCTATCAGACAGAAATGTCATAATTAAGTATTGCTTATCATCGTTCAGAATTTATTTCCGACTTTCTAAGTAAATTGTCTTTTTGAACTCTACTTGCTACGATCAAAACTCCAATTAGGAAAGGTAAAAAGGACTACAGTGTTACATTGAATTTGAATTTCAGGGGTGAATGAGTTAATTATTCATTTTGAATTTAAATATGCTGACTATCTTTTGAAGGATCCCTGTACCCATGGGTTTCAATAAGATTTTAAGTTGCGTGTATCAAACACAATGTAGGCAGTTAATTATATATATATATAACTTCAGTACATTTCATAATACCCTATTACCATTCTTCTCATTATTTGTGGTAAAAGTAGCTGGTTAAGTGTCTGAAGCTGAGGAGGGTATTTTACTGTCTAATGACTACAAATAAAACGCCTGCTGTATCACTGCCGAAATCTGTCATTACACATTCCGAACTACTTTATCCTGCATGAATATTATAAAATTTTATAAATCATTTCTGGAAGGAAAACCACACCTTGCAGAACTCTTATAAAACAATAACAACAAAGGTGAAATAAACAAAATATAATCAACAACGGTGATCTGCCTGTAAAAGTTCTTTGGAACTTGTCAAGGATTCGAACCCTGAACCTTGTAGTGTTATTTACTGTCGCTCTTACCAACTGAGCTACTGGTCAATGGAAGTGTCCTAGCTATGGCCCAACTGCACTACATTTACTACATTTATAGCCAAAATAATATGAAGGGGAGGTTACTCAGTGTTTACAGAAAACTACAGCGGAACTCTCTAGTGTTTTGCCGGCAGTGGGACAAGGACCCTATAGACGTTTCATGTTAGTAGTACATGTAATTAACCGACCCAGTCAATGGAGACCTGGCTGATGGAGATAATTTGTTTGCTATCCCAATGATTACACGCCACACGTTGTAGTGGGGTCAGACATAGACCTTATCAGCGGCTCACACAGCTGAAAAGGTTACACCCTTGCTGCTGCACCATCTGTCTACTCCAAAAGCCTTTATCTAACACCCAGCCAACCCTTTTGTTGGTTCCCCCTTCCTAACTGGATGAAAAAAAAAAATCTTCCTGGACTTAACTCATTCACCCCTGGAATTTCATAATGAACTATTCCAACCTTTGAATTGGAAGAGTTAAAATGTGTCTGCAGGGGTGAATTAGTGAAAAAGCATGGAACCAGTCCCTTACTCATTCTATTCCCCTCCCTACCTGATATATACCCCCTTAACACTTCTCCTTCATTCTTGATAACTTTGGCATGTGATCTCCGAATGTTTTCATCATCCCTATCTTTAACTCATCAGAGCTATCTTCTGTCCAATACTATCTTTGGTGTACCTTTTTTTTTTAGCTCATCAATACCATTTGAAGCCTTCTGTCTAATCTTTAACTCAAAAGGCCATATTTTCCATATATTTTCCTTCTAGCTATCATTTGTCCTTATACCCACTACCCTCTTCCTCTAGTTTTACAACTTTCAATAGTCTCTCTTACTTTCATCCAATAGATTTTTGTATCAGTTTCCTGTCTTTTTCCAACAATTCTTTTATCACCTTTCCTGTATTTTCCTTCCACTATTTGTTGTATCCAAGTTTTTTTCTGTTTATACTGGCCCTTCCCATAATATAAGGTAAAGATAGACAAACAACATTTATCCATCAATAAGCCTAATAAGCCCACCCATATTATATTTCATTTCAGAAGAAATGTTGAAAAATGCTATATATAAACCTGATTTATTTTGCAACAATTATGAAACAAGTTATATTAATCCCTCTTGTTGGCCCTGATGTTAGCCTTGGTGAAAGGCAAGTATGCTCCCACCTGATCACCCCCAAAAAATACTGTGTCATTGCCCTGTAAAAATCTCCATTTCCTACTTTGTGTCCGAGATAATGTCGTCCCCCTTTGCTAATATACTGTCATTTTAAGATTAGTTTTCTATCATGAGGAATAAAACATTAATTTGTAAAATAATGATATAAATGTTTTGTGTGTTTCAGGTACTGGTACGTTTGGGCGAGTGGTATTATGCAGACACAAAGAAAATAAGGACTATTACGCACTCAAAGTAATGAAGATCACAGAGGTTATACGACTCAAACAAATAGAACATGTGAAAAACGAAAAGGAAATTCTAGCTTCAGTCACACATCCATTTATAGTGAACATGTGAGTATATATATAAACATTACCAGCAGAAATGTATTTCATTTGAGTATGAAAGCAAAAACTCTCATGACGTAACATGTGGTTATGTCGTCATCGATTAACCTTCAATTCAATGAGAGTCTTGTCGCTTTGCTTCGGATAACATGGAGAATGTCCCTGCGTCAAACGCTTAAATGACTACGGTTAATTATTGGCGCCAATTTTTGTTAAATAAGTGTTAATGTTCCACCAATGTCGTTTAAAGGCTGACACATATTCAAAACGCAGTAAATAAATTAATCATTTAAGAACAAATAAATAAAATTAAACAATTGTTATATAGTAAAAATGTAAATATATGGATTGCATGAACGGCGTTATTTAAATGTACATGCCGGTATGAACGTAAATCCGTTACATTCATATTCATGTTTAATATGGATGTAACTGATTTGCGTTCATACCAGCATGAAAATTAAAAAACGCTGTTCATACTGAAGAAACATTCGCTCAGGAAAACTTTTGCAATTCGCGAGAACAATCTTTACTTGCCCAGTGTTAATTTCGTCTTCACATTTAGTTACTATGTATATAATGCTGTATTTGCCCTCATTACAGCTGGCGAAAAAGGCGAAAATTTCCTGGTGGACAGTACTTAGTATTCATAGTGAAGATGTGATCTTCTGGTGTTAGATCTATATATAGATGTTAAGTCAAAAATGGCAAAAAAAATAAAAAAAATAGCTATAAATTGGAAACATTTTTTACCTGCATGAATCGTCTGCTGGATAACCAAACTACTCGGACGTAAAACCGATCAATCAATCAATCAATCAATCAATCATTCAATCACCTGCATGACAATTTCCCAAAAATAAGAAAGATGAATTAAAAAAAAAGGTATCAACAACAGTATTATGATAGTAAAATATGCTACAAATGCAACAAAACCAAGTTAGGATTCGAAACCCTGGTCCTCCAATCACAATACCACATTCCCTCTATTTACCAGCTGAGTTACCTGATTAGTGGTGGATGTTTGGCCCAGCCGACTATAGTTATAACCAAGATGTATGAAAACCTACAGTGGACCTCTCTAATGTTGGGACAGGGTTTCTTAACTTTTACAATTTTCAAATTTTTACCTTCTGCCAAGTGTTGTTCATGAAAATTACAGGTATTGCTTATTTAACTCATTCACCCCTGGAGACACATTTGAACTCCTCCAATTCAAAGGTTGGAATAGTTCATTAGAAATATCAGGGGTGAACGAGTTAAGAATGTCCATACCACTGCAATATACTATAACTACTGTAAGTGTTGGAGACTGTTTTATAAAACAATTCTGTAAAGAAAAGAATACCTTGCAGCACTTTCATGAAGAAATAATAAAGATGAAAGTTGGCCTAGACTGGGATTCGAACCCATGATATCAGATTGTTGTATTATTGCAGCAACTGACTGAGGTACCCTGTCAAAGGAAGTGTTCTGGCCCAACTGTGCTACAGTTAGGTCCAAAGCAAAATTAAGGGGAGGTTACTGAATATACGAAAAACCACAGTGCAGTGGGACAGGGATCCTTAAGTAGTGCAAAGTACTTATCACCACTCCCTGTCTTGTATAATTGCTGTATTTTTCCAGGACAAAAAATATGACAAATGATTTCGGGATTTAGCAATTTTAACAGTTAGCTGGATTATGGTTATAAATAATTACATTAGTCATTACAAGTTTGGTTGTCTTCCCCCTATATTTTCATAAAAAGGGGGAATAAATATCAAACTTTGATCTTTAAAGCATCAAAGATGACGTCACATTATGTGTGTTTGAAACAACTATAAAATATAATGAAAGTGATGAAATCAATTAAGATTATAGAAAAAACTCATTTTCTTAGTCAAACTTATAGAAATCTTTGATTTCAACAAGAAATAAAAATGAAAACCCTACAAAACATTCAGGATGAGTTGGTAGTTTAATTTGATGCCTATGGGTGGTACAGGGACACAATATGGTAAATAAATTTGGCAGAGCTGGAGGGCCTTTATATATTAACACACAAACCTTGGTGATAATACAGTGATGATAATTATGAGTAAGCCTGTGGTGTTAGCTATAAATATCTCTACAATGACTTGTCCATATGACTTAACTATCGTGTTCATCCTCACCCACCTAATCCTAGGTGGATTTACTGCTTCATTGCTATTGTAAATGCTACAATCCTCCGTTTCTCTAATTTACGCACAAAAACAGGTGTGACTGGACCCCACCCATATATCCACAAAAACAGGTGTGACCGGACTCCACCCATATATCCACAAAAACAGGTGTGACCTCACTTTCCAGCCTCCCTGTCTCCTGCCCCCTCTTCCTCCCCCCAACTTCCCAACCCTACCTGGTCCCATAAAAACAGGTGTGACCGGACTCCACCCATATATCCACAAAAACTGGTGTGACCTCACTTTCCAGCCTCCCTGTCTCCTGCCCCTCTTCCTCCCCCCCCAACTTCCCAATCCTACCTGGTCCCATAAAAACAGGTGTGACCGGACTCCACCCATATATCCACAAAAACTGGTGTGACCTCACTTTCCAGCCTCCCTGTCTCCTGCCCC